AAAAAAAAAAAAAAAAACTATGAACTGCAAATAAAAAAAAGAAAAAAGTAAGAAAAAAAAAGTCCTATAATAAACAACCCCATCCCCTTTACGCAGACTTTATTTGCAATATTGCAAACAAAATAATCAAAAAAAAAAAAAAAAAAAAAAAAAAAAAAAAAAAAAAAAAAAACACGTATCGATGAAAAATTATTGCGATTTCAAGAAATAAAAAAAAATTTATCACTGAGAGTTTTTGTAGATGGCAGAGAGTAATTCATTCTGCAGTTCAGCTGGAGTTCTGGGTATTTCTTTCGCAGTATCTTTTTCAGGAATCGAAAGAGTAGCCTTAAAAACACCATCCTCTGATATTGATTGGAATGACTTCATCATATTCTTCATGGCATCAGGTTCTAGGGGTCCAAAGAAAACTCTTCGGTCAATACGACCAGGTCTCAATAAAGCATTTGGTGAAGGTAAACGAGATGCATCATTAGTCGTAATAACAAGTACTCTTCCTTCACTACTTGCAATACCATCAATAGCATTAAGTAAAGCACTCAAAGATACCCCAGAATCTCGACCTCCACCAACTTCTGTATTTACAACAGCTCTACTATTACTACTAGTAGTGGTAGATGATAGAGCCTCTGAAGAAGCAGTAGGAGTAGAAGAATTAGTAGTAGTAGTAGGTGATGCCTTTATAGCTGTTTCCAGATCTTCAATAACAAGAAGACTCTTGGGAGGTACAGAATTAATTAATCCAATAAGTGCAGCATCATCAAGTTCTTTTGACTGAAGTGAAAGTAAGTAAATAGGCAATGAAAACTCACTCGCTAAGGCGAGAATAAAACTTGTTTTCCCTGTACCAGGAGGTCCTTCAAAAAGGTATCCACGACGCCAAGGGACACCAAGTGACATGTATAAAGATTTTGAACGTAGAAAGACTCTCGCCTCTTCCACAATAGACATGGTACTATCAGGTAAATATAATGTTGATAATGTTCTCGGTAGTCGTTTTGCGAGAAATTCCCATCGGTTACCCCACCCACTTGGAAGATAAAGTCGTACACTATTTCGTGACTGCTCTTCCCATGAAGTTCGTACATCATCCATAAAATTACGCACTATACTTCGATCTCGTGTAAAGAAAACTAATTGTAGTATTTCATCTTCTCTATCCATACGTGAAGAAGAACGATACTGTTTAGAAGTATCAATGGAACGAGTAATCCAAAGACGTGTACCTTTATATTTTATATAATGATCTCCAAATCCTGGAACGAATTCATTCTCAATTTCAATTTCTTCACGATGTCCTCCTTCCTCTATTAGGGTTTCTTCTTTAACAGAAATTGGCATTAATGAGATATTTCGAGATCTTTTTCCCTGTGGTTGACGTCCCATCCAATTCATAATCATAGCATATTCTTCACGAGAGGAACGAACCTCAAGTGTAATAAAGAGAGCTTCCTTTATTTTTTTCCCAAGGTTCTCTTTCTGAGCACTGAAGGCTTCCCAGATAGCTGTTAATATAAGAATCATGACTGCTAACGAGACAGCCTCAGGGTTAAAAAAAGCACGTTTACTAGAACCAGATTCTACTTTTGTATCACCACCTTCTTTTCCATTAGAATTTTCATTTCCAGAAAATTTTCTTCTCCTTCTTCCTCTTCGTCCATCTCTTCTAGATTGAACATTGTCACTCCCATTATCGTTAATATTATTACCAGTAACTACATTACGTCCACTCAAAGCGGCGAAAAGACCTGTAGGTGAGGTTAATAACGCCTGAGGATCTGGTAGTGTAAATGAATGCCCAGAGTTTAGTATTGGGTTACGCCCAGAGGGTACGGGGAGTAGCAGCGCAACAACACGAGTGGAGTGTCGTCGCATTGGAAACTTGTTTTCCCCCACTTCTTTTCTTTTCTTTTCTTTTTTCTCTCTTTATATATTAAGAAGAAACGTTAAGGTTAAAAAGAGAGTCTGTTCCAGACATAGTTAAAAAAAACAACAACAACAAGAAAAAAAAAAAAATGGTGCTTAACCACCCCCCTAGTAAAAAAAAAAAAAAATGATGGGAATTGTAAAAAATAAAAAAAAAAAAGACTCTCCAATAGTGAGGGAAAAAAGTGAAAAAAGAAAGATTTCTATTGATCCATGTCGTTCAGTTTATTCCTAATTAATTTGTTTTTAATTTGTAAATAAACAAATAAAAAAAAAAGCCGACGTTTTTTTTTTTCTCTTCCTTTACAGGGAATCTCAACATGTATCGAAAAAAAAAAAAAAAAAAACCGTTTCCCAAAACAATATTTCTCGTAGTTTCCCGTAAACCTTTCAAACTTCAATAATTTCATATCCCTCTCTTAACATCGCCCTCGATGATGATGGTGATTGATCTTCACGTAAGACTACATTCCCAACAATCCACGCTAGTTCCCCATCAGCTTCAATAAGTTCCTTGATATATTTCTCTGCAGTAACACGATCTCCAAAAGCCACGAGTAAACCACCACTCGTTTCTGCTGAATATCCCTCAAAGAGTCGATACTTATCAGACATGAGTTTTGAAGCCTTCACAGCTCCCTTGTAGATGGGAAGTTTGTCAAGGACAATACAAACATTCTCTTCCTGTGCCGCAGCAAGATTTCCAGCGTGTCCCAATATTCCAAAACCTGTAACATCTGTAGCTCCATGGGCTCCATATTTTCGCATTAATCTTGCCGCAGCTCGATTTAAACGTTTCATACTATCTGTTGCTGCATTGTATAGTATTTCTATTTCTTCATCTGTCATTTTCCCCTTGATGGTTTCTTCAAAAATAGTAGAAGGTCTATTTAACCATTGTTTAACATTAACTGCAATTTGATTACCAAGTGGTTTTGTCAATACCATCACATCACCAGGTTGTAATCCTGTAGGACGCACCATCTCAGACTCTGATACAACACTTGTGGCTATTCCACCAATAAGAGGCCATGGGTTCATTACAGTTTGTCCACCTGTTACATCTGAATCAGCCAAACGAACATGATCAACAAAACCATTTAACATTTCTCGTGTGGTTACTTCCCGTTCTAATTCATCCATATCAACACTAGCTGCTAAAAGCATTAAAACAGTGTCACAACGATCAATACCCATACTATATAGATCAGAAAGTACATTTGCAGCACCAATTTGTCCTTGTAAGTATGGATCTTCCACACTTGGAAAGAAAAAATCTGTAGTTGAAACCATAAATAAGTCTTCTCCATGCTCATTTTTTTGTTGAAGTTTAACAATACTACAGTCCATCCCAACATCCTTTTGTCCTGGTGTAGTACAAACTGTTTGCAAGAGTGATAACAGTTTGGGTTGCGGTAGTTTACAACTACATCCCTTTAGACGAGTGTAATCTGTAAGCATAAATTCTGAAGGAAGTCCAATTTCAGTAGGATCAAATCGAGTCCTCTTCTTACCATTTGATTTTGACATCTTTATCAAAAACTTTTAATAATAGCCCCTATAATTTCCAAGACTTGAAATATCATCAAATATAAAATATTAAAAAACAACAACAACAACAACAAAAGAAAAGAACACAATGACAAAATCAAGATTAGCAGAAATAAAATAAAATATTAACAGAAACAACCCTCTTAAAAAAGGAAAAACACACACAAACACACACACACACACACAGACATATTAAACTCAGAAGGTTGGTACCAGATATTACTTGAGGACTTCACACATTTTTTCGTCACCTTTCCTCTCGAATACTCTTCTCTTCCTTCTCTTTGCCTTTCAGCATTAAAGTTCATCCAAAAACTCTTGCACGTCTGCATCGAGTTCCTCTTCACGTGGGTGTTTTTCACCAGGCCTCGCCCTCTCCGTTGGTTCCTTCTCAATAGATGAGACCCAAGTGCGGGGGTCGTAACGGCCTTCAATCTGTGCCATTCGTTTCCTATTATTCTCACGAAATTCCTGTGCTTCTGGATCATCAGATAAAATCCATTCAATACGCTCCATTGCGTGTTGAAGAGCCTGTTCGTTAGGGGCTGTTATGCGAGCGTGTGGTTCCTCCAGTGCGATACGTGCCGCATTGGCGCTTGTGTCTTTTAATGGATTTGTAATACCGCGACCGGCCAGTACAATTTTACACTTTGTCTTTTGCTCCAACTCCTGATGGACCATCCCACGGGCTCCTAAAATAGCCCCATAGGCGCCATTATCCATTTCCTCCTGTGTGAAATAACGTTTACGTACAATTTCTTTCTTTTGCGCACCATGCTGTGGTCCCATCTCTGCAATTTGTCGCAAAAGGCTTGTAAGTTCATCCATGACTTTACGTCTTTTTTCAGCAACAAGTTCATCAGGTGTGTTTGTGCGTTGTCCATCACTGTTGTATTCAGGTTCAACAGGGATATTTACAAAATACTCATCACAGCGTTTGGTTTCAATGAGACGGTTAAGATCAATGGAAAGCACACGAAGAAGAAATGCCTTGAGAAATTGACCCTCATCATACAGAAGTAATTCCGGCGGAATATAGCTAGGAATAAGTAGATTTGTATAGCGTTCTGAACTCCACCGCGATGCTTTTGGCGTCTCTTCCGTCATTCTTCAATCACTCACTGCTGATGATAAGAACCAAAAAAAAAAAAAAAAAAAAAAAAAAAAAAGAATACAACAAAAACAATAAACAAACATAGTAAACAACAAAACAACAAAAAAAATAGACACACACACACAAACACAATAAAAAAGTTATTGTGACTTCCTTTTTTCCTTATTATGATTTTGTAAAGTACACAGCATTCCCATCTACTGGATGGAGCTGTAATGACTTTTCCATACCCGTTACTGATGTCTTTTCTCTGTGACAAAACTCATCCACCGCCTTTGCACACCCATTCCAATAGTAGTAATCATCTACTTGAACCACACCTCCTTTGGCAACCTTTGGCCACGCAAGTTCCAATACACACTTCGTCGATTCATACCAATCAGCATCCACATGTAGCATCACTATACCTTCCTTAGGGATTTCTTTTAATATACTTGGCATGGTTTCATGAAACATTCCTGGAATAATTATTAATTGATCTTCCACGTTAAAGTTTCTCGCGAGTTGTCGAACATTATCTTGCAATGCACTACATGTTCCACTTCCCCATGAATTTGCCTCCAAGGAAGTATTATTATTATTATTATTATTATTATGGCTACTACTCAGTACATCAACTAATGTGGGATCTGGCATTCCATTAAAAGTATCAAAGGCGTATACTTTTCGCGGTTGTTTACTATAATGTGCCGCCACTACTGCAAGTAAAACTGCTGATCCCCCACCTGCAACACCACATTCCATTAAAACACCTTCATTTTTATTATTAGAGCATATCTCTTTTGCTAAATGATATAAACTATATAATCTTGTCCATGAAAGCATCGTATGGTCTAATAGAGCATCACACAATAAAGCAAAAAGTGGTTCTCCTTTCATTACTTCTTCTGGTGGAAGTAAAATTGAGCGAGCTATTCCATTAATTTCATAAAGAAGATTTCGTGCTGGAATGTTATTAGGGAAATGACGTAACTCCTCTAAGAGAGCCTGCCGAGCATGCAATACATCTTTCCTACCTGCTAAAAAGCATAAGGCACGACAATAATCAACATTTTCTTCATTTTGACGTAATTTTTTCTTTTCATTTAATTGTTTCAGTAATTCTGTATGCTTCCCTGAGTTAATGGCAGTCACCACTTCAGCAATACTGCGGCGACAGAGAGACCTGGAGAGCATTCCGCCTCTCCCTCTTTTTTTCTTTCTTTTTTTTTTTTGTTCTCTCTTCGACTCTTGCCCTTTACAAATAAGGAAAAAAAAGAGATTGAGAAAGAAGAA